CGTGAAGGTGATCTCGTACACGTCTATTTTCAACTGGTCCAAACTTTAACTTATCGAGATCGATACAATAACCTTAATGTACAAAGTGTAATGAATGAACAAGAAAACCGCATATCTATAGATAACCAAATATGTCCAAAAAACAATGTATACATATATAAAATTAAACATAGAACATAAAATATATGAAAATGACTAACTCCCACTAAACCACAAATTCCTCAAACCGTAAAACACCCATGTGAGCAACATGTTCATGAAAGACCTTGGGCGGAAGTCCTTTAGTTAGAGGATATGCTATCATGGAGTTTGTCCTTAAGTGTTCTATGGAAATCAGTCCACTTTGTACTCTTTCCTTAACAATACAAATGATTTATTGTCACAATATAACTTAAGTGGTCTTTCAATGCCTTTCACAATTTGCGACCTCGTGACAAAATTTCTCACCATATTCCATGATTTGATGCCTCATAGCATGCTACAAATTCTTGACATCCTGCAAAATATGAGTCGGAAAATCCAGCGATCTCCAACTCGGTCCGACATCCTATATATGAGCATATAATCTTTTGTTCTCTTTAAATATCTTATGACCCTTTTTGTCGCTTTTCAATGGTCTATTCCTGAATTGCTTAAATATCCGCCTAGAACCCCAACTATATATGCTATGTCCGGACGCGTACATACTTGGGCATACATCAAACTAATCTTTTGCATTTCCTCAATTTCCAAATTCTCCTTTGGGCACTGATTGAGACTAAACTTATCTCCCTTTAAACTTGTGATACATACAATCATCAACAATATTCATCTTGAAGCCAAATGAGTTTCATACCTTATAGTAATGGGACAAGTTCCCAATAACCTTATTGTCTTGCATGGACTTATACTTCTCCTTCATCGCTTCAATCCACTTTTCGAGTTAGAACCTTGCATGGCTTGACGGAAGTTAACTGGGTCATCTTCCATCATACTATTATTATCTTCATGTTCCTCGAAGAAATACCATGTAATCATCCAAAATAACACTTCTTCTTTCTCTAGTGGATCTCTGCAAAGTTATTGGCTCATGATGCACGAGTTCTTGAGGATCTTGAGTTTGTTCTTCATGAACAACCAAATCATCTTGAGTAAGGGGTTCATTAACAATGCATTATGGAGGTTCCGAACTTACTTTATCAAAAGTAACTCGTTTGAATCGGTTCGGAATTGTTACCGATTCTTCCTCTAAGACAAAGTTCCCTGATTTTATTCTTCCCCCCAAACTCAATATCCTCAAAAAACGTAGCTAGCTCCCGTCTCAAAAAATTGTCTTTAATGTGGGATCATAAAATTTATATCCCCTGGATCTTTCAAAGCATAACCAATAAAATAACTACTTACCGTTCGGGAGTCCAATTTCTTCTCATTTGGCTTATAAGGCCTTGCCTTAGCTGGACAACCCCACACATGGAAATGCTTCGGACTAGGCTCGTCGCCTGATCCAAAGCTCATAAGATGTTTTGGTAGCTCGCTTTAGTTGGTACTGCATTTAGAATATAAGTCTGTCATATTTAGCGTCTCTCCCCAAAGTGATTCCAGTAAGGTGGAATGACAAATCATACTCTCTACCATATCTTTAAGAGTGTAACACAAGCCCAAACGTTACAATTTGATGTTACCCGAGCACTTGTGCCATAATGCACTTGAGTGAGTATTTTCAATTTTATGTTTAGTACCCATGATTCTCGTATTAAGGGTTTCATTATAGGTGGTCACGATATCAAGTAAATACAGATTATCATAAGGCAAAAGTGAACCAGTTCCAATAATATCCGAATTAAAAGACAAACTCGAACTTATTGTTTCCAAATGAACACAAATAACCTAATTTGTCCGGATAAGAAACTGAAACCAAATTCCGTCTAAATGACTGCACAACAAAAGTGTCTTTCAAATCCAAATAAAAAATCAGTACTCAATAACAATTTAAAATACCCTATGGCTTCCACCTCTACCGATTTGCCATCTCCAACATATATCCATCTTTCAGAATCAATTGGCTTCCGGTAGCTTAGGCAACCCTTTATAGAAACACTGATGTTAGTAGTTGCACCTGAGTCTAACCACCAAGTGTTACTAGGTACTGACGCTAAATTGACTTCAGAACAGACCAAAGTAGGAAACATACATTTGAGGATCGGAACATAATTTAAATTGGCAGATACATAAGCAATTGTAGCTGGATTAGAACAAGAGAAATAAACTAATTATGCTCACATTATAAAATAAATAATTATAAATAAAATATATATTCAAATAATGGTTTAACCCATCTTAAGACACCAAATGCACCATCAATATCAAGTCTTTGGACAAGTAATATTAATCGCTAGAGGTATCTTGTTGTAATAATCAAACATTGACAATAAAGCACGTCCAATAACAAACCAGTCTTTGGATTGATTTATCATCGACAAAGCAAATCCTTATAATTATCACATGTTTATCATTACAAGTGTGTATGCAATTCGGCCAAATATTAATCTTCCTTTGAGTCGACTAATACTCGCATGAATATACACAAACACTAACATTCAATATTTTTTATGAACTCGCCCAATTCAAGAGAAGTTACTTTGGTGACTTCTTGACTCAATTTGCTCACAAAAAATATAAACTACCAAAAATTGAATATTTTATTTATATAACAAAACCAAATATTTAATATTTGCAAACTAATTCAAAAGAGAATCACCTTATTATAATTCTACTAAGGATGAACACCTCATCTCGAACAAATCAAAGGATGAAAAAAGGCCTCATTTTCCACAAATACATAAAGGATGAACATCTTCCTAAAATCACACTAGGGATGAAACAGAGATAGTTTTGAGTCTCTTTAGCATACCGCTCTAAAACCTTAAAAGGGAATTAAACAAGTAATCACTCGGACCCTAATTTAACATCAAATTTTCCTTAAATTCCTAAGGGATAGAGGCAATAAAATAATAACAAGTCACACATGTGGAAACATTCATCATTTACCTAAGATTCTCCGTGTTGGGAACTCCACAAACACCACCCCCAATTCCAAACCCATAAAGTTAAATAAAAACAAAAGATTCAAAAAGAACAGAGAACCCAATACAAGAAAAATTGAAATATGAAACACTATTTCTTTCTCGAAAAACTTGAAACTTAAACCGAAACAAAAGTGAAAAACGAAGAAGAAGAAGAATCCATAGCTTCCTCCACTCGCTCCATCAAGCTAGCGTAATCAGATTGGGGATGTTACCCCCAAATTTAAATTTTAGTGGTTCACAAAAATTAGAGATTATCCTCCACTTAGGGTTCATAAAATTGGGTAATTTGAATTGTTTAAAACAAAATTAATCCTAATTTTCATAATTAGGGTTCTATAAATTAAACAGCATATGAATCAAATATGGTAGCACTCGATACCAATTGTTGGAAAAACAATAATAATAATAATAATAATCCTGATTTTGATTCTAACAATCAAACATAAACATAATCTCATACTCGATAAACATGTCATGAACCGAATGCTAAAGCGCACTCGAATTAGCCATAACGATGATGTCTTTAGAAAGCACTATATTGATCTTATGGTCTTCCACCGAAGAAGCACCTCGTATTTCCTTCTTGATTTTCTCTCTGATGGGGATAGAAAGAAAGTGAACTGGACTCGATACTTACGTTCGTGTGTGTTCTCTCGAAGGGGACCATGACCCTTTAGATAACCGAATTAGGTTAATTACTTAAGTTTTAGTATTTCCAATTTGGCCCCTCATCAAATTAGAAATTGCTTCTATGGTCTCTACACAATTTTATTTTCATGACATATGCCTTTAGCCAAAACTTTAATTTAGTTAGATCACTTTATTATTTGGCTTAATAAATAATGACCCTAACACATTTAAATTATGTATCATATATATACATGACCCAAATTTTTCCAACATTTTTGTCTTTTTAAGGTTCATTATATGAAACTTCAATAAGATTGCGTGGTGATTTAAATAACATACAAAGCATAAAAATGATATATTTTAGAAACAAAAGTATAATATGGAAAAAATGAACTGAAATAAAACTTTGAATATTTTTAAAATACAAAAAAATAAATTACATTACTTTATTTTTTTAATATTATTAAATTTCATTATAATATTAATTGATTTAAACTAAACATCAAAATTACCCGTGAATCAATTTAATGTTCTAAATCAGTTGAATTTAAATAAATTATTGTGATTTTTGTTATGTAAAAATATTAAATATTAAAAAAAATCATAATAAAAAGATTATTAAATAAGGATGTGTGATAGAAAAAGTTTAATAATCAGTATTATATTTATCATTTTGATTTGAGACATCTTTATTTCTAACTAATATAACTCGTTTAAATCCATTAAAAATAAAATAAATCAATTTTAAAAAGAAAAATACTATCAACTTTATTATATACCTCAAAGTGAATCAAAGGTTCAATGAAAATCGAATGAACGGTTAAATTGGAAACTTGATTAAAAATTAATTTATTATTTTTAAATAATTAGATTCTAATTAAATTAAGATAAAATCAGAAAAATTAAGTAAATTTTTAAATGGAATCAATTTGAATAAAAAATTATTTAAAATCAAATATTTTTAATATAATTTAAAAAAAATTTATAATATATTTTATTTTTTATCTGTAAATTTTAAATAATAGTTATTTTATTGTTATTTTAATAATAAATTATTTTCTATTTTTTAATATATTTATATTTATAATTTATAATTTTTATTATTTTTATAAAATTTATTAATATTAATATTATATATTTATTATATTATAAAAATATTATTTTATTAAATTTAATTGAATATCAATTAAAAAATATATATTTTTATAGATTAAATAACTCTTATTTTAAAAATACTATTAATATCAGAAATAGTAAATAAATTAAAATATATATAAAGTGGGTATAAAGATGTCATTAAAAGCCTCACACACTGATGACGTGGAAAGTGAGGGCCCACATTGATGACATAGTCATGGAGAGAGGTATAGCATTGGTCGTCATGGTGACGTTCCCGGAGTGACACGTGGCGTACCTTTTACTTTCCTTGTGGCAGGGAGGGAGTATTGCTGTGGGGCAGCATGGAGAGGTGGGGGCCAATGAGAATGTAGCACGTGGCGTGGCCTTTTGTTTTTGGGTGGTGAGGTTGTGGGGTGTGGTCCCCAGTGAGCATGATGTGATGAATGTTAAAGGAAAGAGTGATGGGGGAAGGTGGACCGTCGATGGTGCTAGATAAGTAAATGTGGTGTCTGCCATATGCTCTCTCATATGACCACTCCTTGCGTCACTCTTTTCGTGGGTCCCCCCTTTACTCTTTTACCCCATTTTTCTATTTTTAAATATTTACAAAACAAACCTTCAACTTCTCACTTTTTCCTCATCTTTTCTATATCTATAAACAAAAGAATTTAATTTAATTTAATTTAGTTTACCTAATCAATTCGATAAAATTACTCTCATAATAATTTAATTATGTAATTTAATTCATATATTTTACTCATGCTTAGATTTTTTTTTATTTTGCACATTTGTTATATCTGTACCTCCATGGATGCTAATGACGGATCTTGACCATTGATCTTGGGGATCAAATAATATATTATTAATAAATAATAAATAAATATAAAAGGAAAAAAGAATATGAAAGGGTGAAAAGATAAAATTGTAAATATATACTTAAATATATTAAATTATCATTAAGTTTGAAAGAAACAAAATCATAAATTATACGAGAGTTATAAAGCTGAGGAGGAGTTGAGAGGATAAAATTGTAAATATATAAGTAAATATATTAAATGTGACCAAAATTATAAATGATATGAGAGTTACAAAATTTTAGCTCATCATGTCCCCTCAGCTCGAAGATCCGCGCTGGATGGATGGATTTTAAATGTTTGGTTGTATGATTTAAAAAGTGGGTATAGCCTACTTTCAAATAGGTTGTTGGTGGGTGTGTGAAGTTGAGGAAGAAGAAGAAGAATAATAAAGAGAGTGAAGTTGGGATGTAGTACGTGAGAGGGTGAAGTGAAGGAGATGGAACACGATTGACGTTTGACGTGGCTTTACATGTTCACTCAAAGGAATCACGTAATATACTCTCTCACGTGTGCTGTAGTGGTATTATTATATCAATATGCATTATTTCTTAGTCCAGAGACATGCTTGAATAATTGACTTTGCATGCGTGGAAACTGTTGTTCTGAGTTCGGAATTTTAGGGTTAAAATGGTGAGGTGGTGAATTCAATCATAACAATGGTAGTGGAGATGTGGTCAAAAACAAAACAGCATATGCTAACTTAGAGGACAACCAACACGACGTGTCTTTTTTAATCGTGTAATTTTTTTCTTTATAAAACCGTGTTTGGTAACACGAATTATAAATAAATTTTATTGAATTCGTGTTAATTGTGTTTTGAAGTACAATTATTTTAGACAAACTCGTCCCACTTTATATTATTTAATCAATTTGGGTAAACTTAATTTTTTTTTTACCTATTCGATAAGAAAGCTTGTTTTTTCTTTTCTTTTAACACTACATTGGTCACTTGTAATTAATTCATATTTTATGTACTATATTTTATTGTTTTTTCTCATAAATAAATTATATAATATCTTTTCAGAAATCAACACAATGAATTCACTGGAACAATGATTTTTTTTAGATTTGACTTCAACAAATAGCATTTTTTTTTAATATGTGTGAAATTTTTTAAATTATTGCATTTATTAAAATTTTATTAAATATTCGTTGTTATATATTCTAGAATGTTAATTACATTATTATCAGAATTCAGAATGGTAATAAAAAATATATTCAAAGAAAATAAATTTTGTTATATTTTTTTCTCTTTAAGATATTAATTATTAGTTTCGTATATGACAATAATAAATTTCATGAATTTTTATAATGAAAATGTGATACGACAATAAGTGATAAGAATGTGCAACAGTTATTTATATGTTTCAAAACACAATTAATTATTTTTTTCGTAAATAGTATTTAATTCTCAAATCTATATCAAATTAATACAAAAGAAAACTATGATATATTTAGTTGTGAGCGAACTCGTTTATAAATTTAATACAATAATATCAAATAGTTAAAAAAATAAATTTATTCAATTATTTTCTCTAAAAATAATAATATTCACAACATATACAATAAAAAATAAATAAAATATTTATGCAAAAGGATAAAATAATACCACTCTATTTATAACAAAAACTTAAAAACTAACATAAAATGTATTAAAAAAATGAAAACATAAATAATACTTGGAAATCACTCTTTCCATAAACAAAATGATAAAATAGAATATACTGATATAACATTAGAATAATATGCATAATATATATATAATTAGAAAACCAAATTTAAAAATAAAAAGTATCTTAGGGGGCCAAGGACCATACCACAATATCATGGATCCATCTTTGCAATTATTTATTTTGATGTATTACTTTCTAAAGATGAGAAATATATAGATAAGATAGAAATGAGTATGTTGGGGTTCTTCTACAATAATTTGAATGGGATGATCTAACGAGATAAAAATACTTATGTTTGGTTGAATGTGTTTGATTGAAGAGAAATAGAGAAAAAAAAATGATAACTAGTATTGTAAATCTCTTAACTTTCAAAATTATTTATATACTTTTTTTTTTCTTTTTTCAAACACTTTTATTTACTGGTTATTACCTAGTCTAAACCCAAATCTAAATCTTTGCTTCATAATATTTAGAAGGAGAACTTCACGGACACACATTTAAATGTTTTTACCCTAAGTTGACCCGGAAAGAAAAATGATAAAAGAAAAAAGCATATATATTTTAGGGAGTGGGAAAGAAATGAGTGGCTAAATAGAAAAAGAAAATATTGAATGTGATGATGGGACGTAAATTAATTATAAAAATTAGTGAGGAATTAATGATAGAAGAAGGAAAGGGTTAACGTTGATTGGATGAGTGGATTCTGAAGCGAGTGGGAATAAGTGACGTGGTGTGATGGGGGATTCAATAATGCAGGATGGGTATTAATAGAATAAGAGTTGTTGTGTTGTTGTGAGTAAATTTTCCATGGCCTTTGTGTGTGGAAGCGCCACTCACGGGGTCATAGTCATCACCATGCACGCACTATTATTACGTTTTTTTTTTTTTATTCACATCTTTATTCTGCTTCACACTTCATCCTTTTCCTTCTTTAAACAAGTTTAGGCCCACGTGAACCTTCAACCTTAATTTAACATTCCATATTCACTTCATATGCTCTATACTCTATTCAATTCATCAAAGTTTAGGTAATTGTCTACCTCTCAACTCTTCCTCGGATAAATTTTATTATATTTTACATTGTGAAATCGTCGTAATCTTTTGTCACGTGTAAATTTTAAGTGAAAATTTAAGGTTAAATATAATTTAAATACATGCTTTTCTCTTCATCTATTGAACTACATTTTAAAAAATAGAACGAAAATTTAGAAATAGATAATTTCTCTGATATTAAAATCGATAATATTAGATATAATATCGGATTCTCATGTGAAAATTAATTTAACGATTATAATAAACATGAAACCTAATAATATTATCATAATAAATTTTAAATTAAAATTTTCTTAATTGGTAAAAATTAATCTTAAAAATATTATTATAATAAATAAAAGATTTAATCTTAACATAACAACATTATCATAAAATTTAACGATATTATTATAAAAAAATATAATAATATTAATTGAACAAATTCGAAACTATGATATACCTTAATATTAAAAATGATCTAATAATAATAATAATAATAATAATATTATTATTATTATTATTATTCTGATTAATTCTTATATTCAATTTGATTTTAAAATAATATGATCTAATATTAAATATTGAAATTAAAAATTATTTTAATTATTATGATAATTGATTGATGCATGTACGAGAAGAGAGAAGAAGAAGAAGGGTAAGGGAAAAGCAGGGAAATTGGGAGGAGGGTTAAAAAGAGAGGAGATGGGACATATGATGGTATTATTTAAGAATGATGCGTGCTGGGTGAGTTATAATGCAAACCTGTCGGCGCCGCGGAATGGTTGGACGGAGGATTCATTTGTTTGTGTTTTTGAGGTGGTTGACTACGGTTCATAGGGAGTGACACATGGGTGACGCAATCTGAAGTGACAGTGTCATGTCATTGGTGGGGACAATCTGACTTCATCCTCTCTCATTACACTTCCTCTCTTCTATCTCATTTTTCTTACTGCGGTAAAAATCCTTTTGAAATGACTTTTAGTAGAGATAAAAATTTGAATTCCTTCTCTTCATCATTTCCAACACACAACTCTTTATAAAGCATTAATAGAGACAGATAAATAAGTGAAAAATCAAATTCAAAATTTCCCACCAATACAAATTATATAAGCCCTTGTATCCATTAATCAAATAATTCAGAATTCAAAATTTAAGTATGAAATAAATTATATCATAATTTTTTAAATATTTTTCTTATTGATTAACCATATAAAGAATATATTTTCAAAAAATTATTTAATTAAAATATCTGATAACCTAATTAAATTTATTTATTATTCACATTTGGTGATACTAAATAAAATTATATGACATAAAATAATTATTTTTCTTTTTTTTTCATTATTATTTTTTATTTTTATCTATTTTGTTCTTTCATTCTATTTTATTTTTCTAATTAAATTATTATATTAAATTATTATTCTAATTAAATTTATTTATTTTAACTAAAAATTATTTATTTATTAGTATTTGTAATTATGGATGTCAATGGACTCAAAAAGTCCGAAAAACATATTAAAGTAGAAAAAAAATTATGATCTAAATAGAATTAAGTTAATTTTAGCTCGATTTATTTAAATCATGATATAAATTAGTTTAAACTAGGTTAACGTAAGCTTATGGATGATATATTTTATAAAATAATAATTATTTTAAAAAATAAATATTATTTTATTAGAAAATATATCTATAATAAATTATTTTGCTAATATGTTTTATATTATATTATATATAATTATAAATAATAATAAACCTTAACATAACTTGCTTAGATATCTTCTTTCTCTTTATTGTTGTGGTCACATTTATTTCAAGGGATCAATAATTTGAAATGACATTTTTAAATATAGTATATTTCCAAAGTATCATTTGAATCCTATTTTAAACCAATTACTTTGAAGTTTATAAAGGATGTGTTATATAATATTTATGTAGGATATGTTTGACTTTATGTATGGACAATTATAATTTTTCAATGCTAAATGTTTATTTTGTTGATTGTATGATGTTTGGTTGATTTGGTGACATTTTTAAACATTTGGTTGATTGTGACATTTTAAGCATTCTACTTATTTTGTTAATTTTGTGACATTTTAAGCATTAAGAATAGTTTCTCAAGCGAATGTTAGTTATTCTTCTCTGGAAGTCAGTCGCTCAAGCGACACAAGATTCGTTTGAGCGAATATTAGTTATTCTTCTCTGGAGTTCACTCGCTCATGCGAACATTTTGTCGCTTGAGCAAAAACAGGTAACTTTCGCTTGAGCGAAAGTTCTCGCTCGAGCGAAAGACGCGAAGCTCAAAAGCCTAAATTTTTCTTACAAAAAGAGAATATGTGTTTTGAGAAAAGCAAACAATTTTGGAGGAGAAGAGCCGTGACCACTGCTAGGGTTTTGTCCAATCTTCATCAATTCTTTCACATTTAAAGCATTGTAATGACCAACATGAGTGACTAACTTCACTATCTTAGGATTTGGTGCACTTCCTTTGAACTCTTTTGTATCATGGTAATATTTTGAGATATTAATCTATGTTTTGATGTTGTTATTCTTATCCTTTGTGTTTTAAAATGATTTATTCTTGATGTTTGGGGTATGATTGGAAAATATATCTTGAACCCTAGATCACGGTAAGAATATTTGTTACGTTATTTGCCAGAAATGGAATGAATGTATCAATTGCTTAACACCCTAACCCTAATACTGGGAAATCTCTTAATTGTGTGAAGAATCAACATTTATTAGATTTTCTTATGAATTTCATGTGTGAGGAATCAACATGGATGATTTGAGTAGGTGACATCAACATTATTAAGTTAATTGATGTTCTTAATTGACATAACCATTACAAAAGAGAGATAAGGAAGGAAATCAATCCTAAGTACCTTTAATTGATATTTTCTCAATAATTTACCGTTTTTGTCATTTAATTTCAATTCAACTCTTATTGCAAAACCCAATCTGTTTTAATCTACTTAGTAAGCATAAAATTGAGAATTTCCATTGAAATCGTTCCTCTTGAGATCGACTTTTATTTAATTGAAATACTATACTGTGATTGATAATTTTGGTACGTTTGTCAATAATTCAACATACATATTTTGTGTTTTATAATGAAGAATTATTGAAAAGAGATTTTTCAAGACCCCTCTTATAATGCTTAGATATAAATCAAGCTGAGTATGTAATGAATGAATTAAATAATGAAATTTGTGGAGTTCATTTAAGAGCAAAAACATGACAACCTGAATACTTTATGCTGAATATTATTGGCTAACATTAAAACAAGATGCAAAAGAATTTGTAAAAAAATGTCAATCATGTCAAAATTTTGGCCCATTATTCAAAATATTTCCGAAGAGCTTCATAATGTGTTTTTTGTATGACCTTTCACCAAATGAGAAATTGATATACTTGATCATTTTCCAATGGCAAAAGGCCAAATAAAATTTCTTATAATAACAATTGATTACTTTACAAAATAGATTGAAGTAGAACCCTAACCACAATTACAACATAACAAGTGCAAATTTTTTTAAAGGATTTATTAGTGAAACATCTAGTAACTTCAGTAGAACACCCTCAAACAAAGGGCGATTAGAAGTTGTTAATAAAGTCATCCTAAACAAGCTTAAACACAAGCTCGGACAAGCAAAATGATGTTGGGCCGAGGAAATATCAAGTATACTATAAGGATATCGTTGTGCTCCTGAATCGTCAATATAAGAAACCCCTTTAAGATTAACTTATGGTATGGATACGAAGATACTAGTTGAGATAGATGAAGAATCGTGGAGCTTGATGAAAATCCTAATAATGAAAATATCATAGCAGGATTAGATTTGATTCATGAAATCAGAGACATTGCTCATATTCGATAAGAAGCCATTTAAAAGGTGAGTAGCAAGAAGATATAACACAAAAATTAAACATAGAAATTTTCAAAAAGGAGATCTAATGTAGAGAAAAGTTTGAGAAGCTCGAAAAGATCGAACAAAAGGAAAACTAACTTTAAATTGGGATGAACAATACAAAATTATAGATTTATTTTAGAATAGAGCCACAAATTATAAGAATTATAAAAAAAAAATGATACATTGAACATGAAATGTGAGATTGTGAAAAGAGAAATCTCATATCAGATAAATTATATGTTGATGCTTAATTTTCTTGTTATAAAATAGCACAATATTTATCTTAAAAATTACCCAAAATCTCTTCTTTCTACTTGTGCATTATATAGTAGTTGAATTATCTTATTTCTTTTATGAGAGATAATATTATTATTGTTTTCTCTTTAGATTTAAAAAGGGTATTGTAATTTCTTCTGATAATAAAATTCTATCACACTTGAATTCAAACTCACTTGAATTGTCAACATTTTTTTTATATGAAAAAATATGTTTATATAGAATTAAAAAAAAAAAGATGTAGGTGTAATTCCATCATTTTAATTTATTCTGTAATGTATTATTATTACATATCTATAATCTCCATCAATTTTGTGGTTGAGACAGTTCCGGTTTAAAGATTATATCATAATTTAAATATATTCCACCATATTTTAAAAAAATAATATTTTTATAATATAAAAATATAATAAATTTATTATAATAATTATTAGATATTTAAAATATTTTAGATATTATAAATATTATTATTCATATGGATTTATCATATTTACTTACAATAATATTTTTTATAAAAATAATAATAAATATTACTGTTATAATTATTGTAAATTATAATAAAAATTATAAATATATAATATATTAAAGAGTAAAAAATAATAATTATTAAAATAATATAAAAATATAATAAAATAATTATTATTTAAACATGATGTATTTTATATAAAATAAAAAAACTAAAATATATTATATATTTTTTAAAAATTATATTAAAAAAATTTAATATCTCGTTTTTTTTTTTACCAAAACGGTTGAATAAAAAACTTAATCATTTTTTTTTATCTTTTCTCGATTTATTAAAATTCAATTATCTAAAAATAATTAATTGATTTTTAGTTAGATTTTTTATTACGATTTTCAAACAAGATCATAAAAAAAAAATTATAAACGCATGATTATTTGAAACAATATAGTATTTTTCTGAATGCGAGAAGGGAACATTGAAAAATCCAAAGAAAATCTGCCAAAGCATCTCCCATGATATAATATTTTCAGTACCTTAATTGCATGCATGTATGAACCTTTCACAACAAGGGACGTACCCTTTTTCATTCTTCATGCTTCATCTAATATAATAATAAAAAAAAAACAAGCCATGTGGAGTCTACTTAATAATTAATTCATTGAATATTATTAAAATATCCTCGTAACTCTCACAAATCTTTATAATTAATATTTATCACTTCTCTTTAATGGACTGAGGAGTATTTTTAAAAGGTAAAACGGTAATGGATTTGTGGAATTATTTCCTCTTTCTAATTTTTTACTAAAATTTATCTTTAATTTTTAAATTCATCAATTCGATTCTTTAACTTTTGAAAATATGTTTATTTTTTCAAATTATTTTCTATACTTAATTATGATTTTTCATCTTAGTAAAAGTAATAAAAGGAGCAAATGCGATTTTAATGTTTTTTTTATATACATTTCATATTTAAGAATTTTTTTCTGTTATAAAATTATAAAATTGTAAAAGAAATAAATTTATATATTTTTTAAGCATAAAAAATAATTTTCACAAAAAAAATATACAAACGAAACACATATTTAACCTTATTACAAACACCCTAAAAAAATTTAAACATAAATCAAAAGACTGTAAAATATACAACTAGCTAAGATCTATCATTAAAAGTCTCTTAAAATAATATAAATAGAAATATTTATTATTCTATTTTAAATTTGAATTAGAGTGTTTAGGCATGTCATCTCATTTATATGATAAAACTTAAAAAAAAAAAAGCACGTTTAGTTTTAAAAGGGTATTGGAATTTTGAAAAAGAAGTATAATGTCAACGGAATTTGAGATGGAAACAATATTATATTAATTATTAAAAAAAGAAGAAGAAAAAAATGGTAGAAGAGTAAGCTTATGGAATACGTTAAAGGTTGGTCAAATTAAGAATCCGATGCGAGTGGTGAAGAATGCAGAACGAAAATCCTCCACTTCCACTCCACGCATTGTGTGTCTGCGATACCAAGCTCAACTAATTAAGGCATGCCATGACCTTCGCTTTTTCTGTCTACTCAAAACAACCACAAAATCTTTCAAAAATATGATGAAATTGATTTATGGGTCCTATCGTCCAACGAAATAAAATAATTTGGAAAATAATGAATTCAATGATAACATGATTGAGGTGGACCATTTGATCGATGATGAGGATGTCTCTAATCGTGTACATGTTCCAGAAACTAGTTTCTCCGATGTTAAAGGGAACTGTAACAATCCACTAATGTAACAATATTAAGGATCAGAAGAGAGACATTCCTCAAATCCTAGTTTAAGAAGTTGGAGAACCTTCTACTTTATAAGGTCTCTCTGATAATAAGATATCTTTGATAAGGAGACTTCTCCAATATGGATTTGTTACAAAAACATTCCATCTTCGATGTAAATATCAATTATCATGAGAACACTAAAGCACAATTATTATTTTGTACATAGTTGCAAGAATATGTTGTAAAAAATATGTTAATTTGTGTCTTGTATGATAGAATAAAGTTCTTATTCCTTAGACAGGCTAATCTTGTGTTTTATTTCTTAGGTTCAACCTGTGTAAATCTTTTTTATTGAAGAAGCACTTTTCCATGTGTTTTCAAATGACGCAGTTTAAATTATAAAAAATAATTGTTAGATTTTAATTCTTAGGAACAAGAGTCTTTCGACTCATTTCGTTTATCATCATATTATAGAAGGATTTATTTTTATATATCTATATTATTCTTTTCTTTCATACTTTTATTTAACACTAGTACAGTAAAACACATTTAACATCGGTTCTTAGCAGCTTTCTACATCGGTTCTAGAACCGATGTAGATACAACCGATGTAGAAAGTTGGTGAGTTTTAACATCGGTTAAGAACCGATGTAGAAAGTCTGACTTTTCACATCGGTTCTAGGCCATAACCGATGTAGAAAGTACTTTCCACATCGGTTATAGCTATAACCGATGTGGAAAGTCAGACTTTCTACATCGGTTATGGCCTAGAACAGATGTGGAAAGTATTAAAAATCACTTTCTACATCGGTTATGGCCATAACCGATGTGGAAAGTCATATTTTTTTTTAAATACGAATTTTAGTTTTTGATTTTTCAGAACCTGTACAGCATTTTAAATATTTACAGCTACTCAGAATGTTAATCTATATATAGAGGACATGCATTAACACACAAGTAAACATAATGTATATTATATATCTACATTGTATTGTATCAACAAACAATAAACATGTATTGTATTCTAAGTTTATATATACAAAGAAACTAGCAAGTCCTAATGTTTCACAATTAAATTCAATCACGACTATAGTTCTTAATAACAAAATCTGCCCAAATTCGTCTAATGTCATCAATCTCTGCTTCACTTATTGGATGACCATCATCGAATATCTACAAAAAAAAAAACATTTCGGATAAGCGAAGTAGGCAAATATATGTCAATGACATAGATATAGTCATAACACATACCAAATTCCATGAATCTGTGATATTTGCTGTGATGATTGTTAACATATGTCTCATCACATAATATCCGCACTCCCAACTTCCTTTTTGCTTATTACACTATAAGAAAAAAAAACATTAAATATAGAAAATGAGTAAATTAAAGTTAAGAATTTGAAAGATAATGTCCTTACACGTGGAAGTATCCATGTGGGTTTCCGTTTAGGCTTACCCTCCATGACTGAGTATGCTTCTATACACCTATAAAAGATTAAATGGAAAATACTTCATATTAAGACATGTGGAACTTAAAATGAAATGAATGAAATATTATACAAGGGTGTTAGTATACTTATCTTAAACAATTGAATGTTGTCTGGATCGGGATTTGGGAATGAAGCACAATTATTATGAAGTACTTACTTATGAATATAAAAAGTAAAATCTGGATACTATTTAGCTCAAAGGAGTGAAGCACAGATCTTTACAGCTTATTTAATCTGTCATGAACCGGACCTAGAGTATTTAATTAGTCACAAAGACAGATTCATATATAAGGGTGTTAGTATACTTACACATCAATAATCTGTTTAATTTCCTTTTTGGGTTTATTCCATAAAAAGCATAAAAAATAGTCTCATTACGTTTAGGACAAAGGATAAACAAGTTGCCAGTGAGACCTACAAAAAATGTCGCTCAATTAGCAATTCTTAAGAGATTTAAAGTTTGAAAGTAAGTAATTTAAAATAACTTACCCATAATGATATGGTGCGAGATAAACTTCCTTTGATCCTTCACAAAATCTCTTTTGAATGTATGCTTGAATAGTATTTGGTTTGTTCCCTAAACTCTGAATGTGGACAGGATCAATGAATCCATAGACATCTTCTACTCCCTTTTCCGCAACAGCTTTGTTGAGGTAACTAGAAATTGAAAATATCATGTTAATTGCATTTTAGACAAGTTGGTGTCTAATAGGGCATATAACCAATTGACTTAAATAAAAACATAAGACTTACATTAACCGAGACTTGGAGAATTGTGACGCAAATCATGTCTTGACTCAAAACAACATCCATAATGTCCTTCGACTCAAGTACAACGTGATGGGCTGCAGATTCCCAATCACATGAGGGTCCATCTCGGATCCGTAAAGGTATATGCTTTCCTAGCCTATAAGCTAAGAGGCATAACCTTTGTATCGGATCTAAGTCCAGTTCCTCTTGAACTTTCTCTTTCTCTTTCTCCTTCCCCTTCTCCTTTCCTTTCACTGGGCACAAATGTCCTATACACATCAAGGAATTAAATTAAAATTTATGATAAAATAATAAAATTATAAACATGTATCAAATTATTAAAGAAAACATATAATACCCGATCGGTAGGAAACTGGATAAGTGCTCTAGGCCACTCGAATGAAATGACCGGGAGCCTCCCCACTGTTCTAACCTCGTCGGATGGAACAGGAACAGGAGCTTCGTAAACTTCCACCCGTTCAACCGCAACACGAAGAAAGGAATCCGTCATTTCTACCCCGTGTATAAGTGGCCCCAATGTATGCACAGTACCATATGCCACTAGTAAGCCTTCCTTTGTGAAGAACTTGCATAGAGGCCTAGGAGTGTCTTCACCAAGTGGAGTTGACTCATCATCAAGAACGTCAACCCGTGCACAACTCCCTTTGGTGCTAACACGTTCCTCGTGGCGAGAAGCTACGGGAACACATTGTTGACCCCTCCTCGTGTTCCCCTGAGATAAGCCTAAGGAGACAAGTTCCCGCCTTAGCTCCGCCCGAAGCTCTTCCCTAATTTGATCCCCGATGGCCTGCAACTCATCTCTAGTGACCACACTTTTTGTGGAAGGTTTAGGAGTGCCAAAATATTGTCGGATGCCAATCCCCCATCCAAGCTGCCCGCACGCGACCTGGATGCTCCGGTCGTCCAATAGCAGTGGATAATATATCTTGTCGTCCACTAGGGGTAAAGGTCCCTTGTGAACTTTGCTCTAATAATTCATCCTACAAAGAAAATGTAATTGATTAGAGAAGACACAATATATAATTCTATCTCATTTTGAATAATTTTTTAAATAACTACTTACAATTTTCTCGTCCCACAACACGACTCTCATCTCGTAGTATAGTCACCTTTCTTGCTCTGTCGTGCCTTCTTCCACTTCTCATGACGAGAAGGAGGTGATGGAGGTGAAGTCACACCCGAGGGGTCACTTTGAGAGGCTTCTTGAGAAGCTTTACGCTTCTCTTCTATCAGCCTTCCTCTCAAGTAGTTGGTAACCCCTCGGGATAGCCTCGTGAGGATATACATTTTTTTGTTGAATTGTTTTTGCCTTTTATCGTTTCTCCTAATAAAGATACATTCAAAGAAACGGTCAGCTAAAAACCGCTGGTATTTCATCGCTGAATTCATCGGTGAAAAACCGTTGGTATTTCTTGAACTAATGAGTCTAATTACCAAGCATATGATTTTCCTTCTACCTATATACTAAAAAACTGCTGGTATTTCATCGCTGAATTCATACCAACTAAACACATAGCAATGTTAAATTAAATCCGAGGTTGATTTAACTGCAGGTAAGGTGCAGAGAATTACATATATAAAAGGCCAATGCATTTTGTGACAATTGCTCGATAAAACATGTAGCATACTAAAATAGTATTATTCATTTAGTTCTATGCGTTTTGTGCGAGTTAAAAGCAGTGGTAAGGTGATGTTAAAAGCAGTGCAAGTTAAAGCACACGAACCTTAAAAGAAGGATCCATACGGCTCTCAACAAACTTATCCCATGTCTCAGTTGTCTAGAAAGGAATATTGCTCATAAGGAGACACTCCTTTCTTGCTTCCAAACACGTAGGTGGAAGTCAATTGGGTCTTGAAGGCCCTCCAACGCTCACCGACGAATGATATCCACTTCCTCCTTAGCCCTTCAGTATTCTGAACATTATAAGTGAGCTACAAAAAATAATACAAGGTCAGTGAATCCTACAAGAATTAACAATACAAGTAAATTTAATAGAAAAAATTCGTACCAAGATGCTTTGCCAAATTTGTTCCTTCACACGCATCTCCACATCATCCCAATCCTTCTTTATTATGCTCACTTTGTTGCGGCCTGAAGTGCAACATAACTTCTAAACTTTGTTGCGTGAGGCCCAATAACATTTCCGGTCGAGTCATCAAACTCAATCGGTAACCTCTCATCAGCATTTCGACTTAGTGTCAACTCACTAAGTCGTGTTGCACGTCTCCCCTTCTTCGCGGACCTACTAGAATCGGCCATATTCCTGCCAAATAAGACGAATAAATGAGTTAGAATACAAAGTAAATAATACAAAGACATGCAAAGTAAGTAATAGTGTAAAAACCATAATATACCTATTGTTTAACAATTTTCCCATATTCCTTCTTCATGATCAAATCGGGTGGCATATACATCATCTTCTTCATTGTCATCATTAGAAGGTAAAAAGTGTGATGTCGAAGATGGACTAGTAAA